CGCTCAAGATCATCGACGCTCTTCTTAAGGCTCAGGAGGATCTCCTCTGTTTCACGATAGGCCTGGACACAATGATCCATCCTGGAGCATGTTCTCTCACTGTCTCGAGCAACCTGTTCCATGAGAAGCCTCAATTCATAGTTTGGATCTGGCTGTGGAGTGTAGCATGGCTCTGCAGAATGGCCCGTGAAGGCCGCCATGGGTAACTCCAGCGCCGATGGCCCTTCTGGTTGTGGGAGAAATTCTTCTTGGTAATGAGATTGCTCTTGATATGCCCAGGGGTCCGGTTGTTCTCCATAGTAAGGGGGTTGGTAGTGGAACCCGAATCCATAGTCTTCTCCTCCTTGATTGCTCCAAGGAGTCTCGGGGTAATACCACTCGGGTGGTGGAGGATGCCCCCAATTGTTGGAGAAGCCATGAGGATCCAAGATTCAGATCTGCACCAACAAAAACAAAAACACCCAAGTGAAAAGCAAGGGTGGAAAAGAAAAGAAAAGAAAAACGCTAAAGTAACAAACTTCTGACTTTCCTAATACTCTAGAAAGTCCCCGGCAACGGCGCCAAAAACTTGACTCGCTATGACACAACTCCTAGCAATTGCCAAGTGTAACCAATGAAAAGGACTGCAGTATAGTGGCTCAAGTAATAAATATCGAATCCACGGGTCTCTAGAGTTACTATTACTCAGCTTCAGTTCATTATCTAGCAAACCAGATTAAGATGAAAGAACTAAAACTACTCTAGCAAACTACAGTTAAAGTTAATCTAATTACAGGTTGGGAACTCACTTAAGTATGATTCCTCCTAGCCACTAGCCAGATTAATGATTGATGATCTCTAACTTGTTTCACTTTCATCCACAATGCGGAGAATCCTTGACTAGACCTTGAGTCTCGACTAACGGAACAAGGCCCTCTTGAGTCAATTGCCTAGAGGGACGTATCCTTCTCTAGCACAACCGATCAAGGCGTTCTGAACTAGACTCCCTCTATCGAAAGAGGTTCTCAATCGATACAAAGCAATGAATCAAACCTCGACTAAAGCAATCGATCCACTACTATCAATCTATGGTGCTCTATTGACCTAATCAGGTATTCGCTCTCATAGGATCAAAGCAGAATCAATAATCTCGACTAAAGCAGAATTGAATCGTGAAAACATGCATAGATTGAATATGAACTCAAGATTATCAAGTAAGAGTACTCATACAATCATCCAATCAAACAATCATAGCTAGGGTTCCTCAAAACCTAAAAGAAGGGAAGTTACTCCATAGAGAAGAGAGAAACTGCAGTAAGAATCTTCAGATGATCAGTCTTCAAGTCCTGGCTTGTTCCTCGAGCTTTCAAGGCGAAGAAATCCTCCAATTCCACTCTTAGAATGCCCTCAAATAGCTCTCTCTCTCTCTCTTTGGTTCATTCCTAGGGTGTTTGGGATCCAAAACCCAGCTCTCCCTTTCCTTTGGCTCGAATATGCCTCAAAAACCCGATTCTGGGCGAAATACGGACAGAAATACGGTCGTAATTCTTCCATGCCCGTATTTTTCCCAAAACACGCGTTTTGGTTAAGTTTCAGCGCATCCAAAGCTCCTCTCGCCAGTGAAAATACGGGCATGGGAGGGGAAAATACGGTCGTAATTCTCCTGCCTGTAATTCTTCATCCGCCCATGTTTAATGCTTCGTTTCTCCCTCGTCCGGACTCCGAATCAGTCGCCGTTTGATCCCAGACGCTCGTATTCTCGTCCTCTATCTTTTTATGACAAGATTACATTATTATTTGTCCATAATATGAGTTAGAATTCCATTCTTCCTAAGGTCATGCTCGTGTTTCTTCTCCCGAATTGCCAAATGAATTCCGATTGGCTTGAAACTTGCGCCTTTGCTTCAATTTACATGCTAGGACCTGAAATGTGACAAAGGAACACAACCTAGCATAAAATAGTCCAAGAAAGTAAAAACTCAAGCCAAAATGATCAAGAAACAAGGGTGCAAACATGTGCAAATACGATGTTATTATTAACTAAATAATAACTTGAACGAAAAGCATAAACTAAAAGACCTGCGGCAGAGATCTTACCCCCTTTACACTCACCTCGAAAAGATGAGTCCTCAATTCCTTCCTCGAAGAAACCCCTCCTTAGCCGGATTATCTTGGGGAAACCAATTAATAAGAATCCATTTCTTAGACGACCTTTCTTGATTTAAAACCCCTTTTGAATTACTAGAACATTCTCTCCTCAAACTCCAGTCCTTGAACCTCATTCCAAGGGTCCTTTAACCCCCATTAAAATTTTCTAGAATTAATCCCGTCAAAAACTACCATTTTTCTTAATTATTTTTTATCTTGGATGAATTTTTCACCTAACTTGTACCTTCTTATAATTTAGGACAATAATTTTACCATGTTAATCATGAGCCCCTATACCCTGGAAAACTATCAAACCCTTAAAAACCCCTCGGAAAGATTTTTATTTAATTAAAACAAATATTTGAACGATTTCTAAAAATAGAAATACATCTTCAAAAATCCACAAATTAAATAACAATTATCTCCTAGACGACGCTCAATTTAGAAAATTGTTAAGTTCAGCAAAAAACCTTCAGAGAGACTCGAAACAATTTAAAACATCTAAAAATACGTTTCTGGAAATTCTCAGCAGCTTTAGTGACCAATCAAAATCTGTCACTAAAAGCCTATAAAGCCTGTTGCTAAAACCCCAGAATTCTACCCTCATGAAAAATCACCAAATCAATCGAATTAACTCAAAGGGATCGAGTTCTCTTACCTCTAAAACGTGCCTAGGCCTAGGTTGAATGACCTGGGACGTTGATCTCCTCGTTGATCGACCCCTCAAAAGTCACCGCTAATAAAATACGAGCTTCGGATTAGGCTATCGATAAATCGAATTTAGAAATCGCGAAGAGGTTCGTGATCCTTACCTAGAAACACGAAAGGGATGGGCTAGGAATTAAGGACCGGGATCGGGAGTTGGCGTTCATTTTTTTCTTTTTCCTCCGCCCGACACTTGAATTGCTGCTGATGCTACTTATTTTCCCTTGGCGGCTAGGAACAAAATTTGTGGGAGAAGAAAAATGATGGGGGGAGAGACGTGGGGAAGGGTTTTCTTTGGGCCGCCCGGCCCCTTGGCCCCTCTATATTTTTTTTCCTTAAAATAATACTAATATAATAGTTATAATTATTATTAATCCGCGATTGTAATCTATCGTACGTAACCGTCAACCCAATTGTTCACGTATTAAAGTCAAACCTAAATCTAAAATACCGGAGTGTTACACTCTAACTGGCTGCTCCCTCGGTCCTTCTCTGCAATTTGATGAGTGGGTTGGGCTCAGTCTAGGCCGTCACTAAAAGCCTGAGAACACTTGAGGGCTTTCCTTTAACTGTTCACCTTAAAATCTTGGAATTTGTTATCACTTTGACCCTTTAACTTTAACATTCAAACACGTGGGAGTTGTTATTACTCACCACCCTAAAAAAATTTAATCCTTTGACCGACTCAGGCATCCCCTCACTCACTAACTAATCCAGCCACCCAACTCATACGTATGAGGGTGGAGGGCCTACTTAGGCCTATCCTTATCCTTATCTTCATCCTTATCATTTATGGAGGTCTTATTGATTCATCCCCATAATCCTTATGAGCATTATGTGCTCTTCCTTTAAACTTTAACTCATGCGGGGTACTGGCATTAGTGACCAACGACGGGGCCTTAATATTTTGAAAAGTCTGTAAAATACATTCATCATCCAGACTATCAAGAATGTCACTCTCAATGTATCCTACCAAAAAATCATTCATGATATCATCACTCATTCCTCTCCGAAGAGTGTTCTTCACGTAGTTCATTGCCGAAAATACTCTTTCAACACTTATAGTGGCGACTGGTAGCAGGAATGCTAACTTCACAAGAAGATACACATATGGAAATAAGGGATGAAATATTGAAATCAAACAATACCTTCAAGCTAGCATGGGAGTTTCAAAGATACTCTTCGAAGAAGAAGTTGTTGTCGGCCACCAAAGGAAAAGAAGAACGAAGGAAGATAAAGGGTCAAGGGTGAGACTGGGTCTGGGAGAAGTCTTGCTTGTTAGGGCTGAAATTTTGATTACTGCTTGAATAATGATAAAATTATGTGTTTTTTAATTTGATTTATTTATTATTTGTAAAAGGTAAATTAATTATATACATACAATAAAACATATTAATGTATCACATAAGTAATTGTGATTTAATGGTAGAAGCCAAAACTAATAATAAGCGGGTTCCATGTTCAAATCCTAGCTATAGCATAAACTAATACCCCTATTTTTATGTCCTAATCCAAGAGTGTGCCATGGAACACCCTAATTATAAGCTATCTCCGCCCATGGTTGAAATCATTAATTGATCTGTACAAAAAATTCCAATAGTACTGAATTTCCAAAATTATGCATCTAAGTATTTACCAATCCAAAGCTGAATTGAACGCTGAGAATCGGTCTCCTTGTCTCTTGGAGTGCGATGTTTGTCAATCACATAGGCGACGCTTCGAGGATGGTACGTCGAGAATTCGATTATCAAGTGAGACCAAATTTACTTGGTAAGATATGCATTATCACATCGTCGATATTTTGCTAACCCATTATCATCAATTGTCGTTTGTGAATGGAGCTACTTGGGAAATGTTTGGTACCGACCCCACCTTCTGTGCAAGGAGCATTACGGCCCAAAGCTCCACATGGACCATGCAACATAAACGACGTTACAGCATGATAAAGACCTTCCGGAATCCGGATCAAGGTCACGATTTGGTATTCCGCAGTTATTATAGAATCAATTTCCTTTAGTCCACTTAATTTATATTCCGAAGATAGGAACACCAACAAATAAGCATGAGGGGCCCCATTTATGAATTCAATTACCATGACATCTACAAACAAAAAATATACAATAAATGTTCATAGGCACTATATAAAAAAACAATGGCACATAATTCAAAAATGTATGGATGAAGCAAACACGTACAATGATTTTGTCAACAAATTAAAAATTATCCCTACTGGGCGTATTCAAACCCTATTGCAAGTTTTCGCGATCTGGGATTTTCGGCGGAGTAAGGTCGCGATAGAGATAGGGATGTGGAGATTTCAGATCCGGTACTCGACGGAGTAAGGCTCTTCGTTGCCTTTTTCTTCTGGTACTCTACGGCGGCTAGGGATGTGAAGCCGGATGATTTCAGATCCGTTGCTCTTTTTTATCCGGCAATGAAGTGGAGAAGCGGCGGGAGGCGGCTAGCGGCGATGACAATTCTCCAAAAGAAGTGGGCCTTCAATTCTGTGGCTAAGAGAAGTGGGCAATCCGCTCATCCCCTGCAAATCTCCAAAAGGTAGAGGTGGTGGGGTGAAATTGGCCGGAGGCGACGAGGATGCAACTTGCGAGGAAGACGAGGATGCAACTTGCTCCTCTCAAGTGCGATCTCCGGACTCTCAAGTACTTCCGCTAGCTATCGGCATCATCGAATTGTCTTGTAATTAGGATTTAGCCTGGGAATTGTTTCGAATTTGGGATTGTCTCCTTGGGTTGCTCGGAGATTCGGCTGTCGGCGGGTCATCTCCCCCACAGGCCTGAATGCGGCCTTGTCGGTTACAATCACGAACAGGGTGGCGGTTACGCTTCTTGGCGGACGGTTCAGATGAGTATTCTTTTATCATTTATTTTTTTCTTTATTATTATTATTATTTCTTTCTTTTCCTTAATAATTATCCTTCATACTTTATTTGTTTTTAATTATTCTTTCCAACTTTTTTCATTTTTCTCGTATGTATCTATTGCCTTCTTTTTAAATTTATATACTTGCAAACTGTTAGGTCCCCGAAATTTAGGTTGCACCTTTTATTAAAAAGAAAAGGTTTAGGTGTGTATCGAGTGGTGTTGGTTATCTAGGGTTTCCTGATGACCTGGTATTATATTTCAAGGGCAAATTGCTGCCTTATGTCTATGTTGACTTGTTAGCTCTTTGGCCTGGATTGCCCTAGTAGGGACCTTTGTTTGCTCATTTTGCAGGTGAAGATTCAATGGCACAATAGTCTATCGGTGGCGGCTGTCTTGTCCACTAGGTGGCCTTTTGATGAGATTTGATGGAGCACTTGAACAGTATTAATATTTAGTTTGATGGTGCGGTCAAGCATAGTCACGAAGGTAGTATTCGCTTTGTGTGTTTCCAATCGTCAGATACGGCGGGATGGTGGGAGGCGACTTGGCGCATGATCGGGGTGGAGCTCTATTTGAGGATACTCGAAGCTTAGTTTCTCACTTCAGTCGAATTTCTTACTGCTTTGTTTCTCGTCAACTAAATAGGGCTGCCCATCATGTGGCACAAAAGGCCCTATCATCGGGAGTTCGACCATTGGTCGACTCCCGCGTTTTTCTTTCTTCCACTTTGTGACTATCTTTTCAACACTGACTTTGCAAAAAAAAATAATCCCTATTGCCAATTCGTGTCTCAGAAGACTATAGATTCTTAAAAAAAATACGGTCAATGCATGAGGCAACCACTATGAAATTATGACTAATAATAATAATAAATAGCCTCAAACCTCTCCCGGCCAAATTCATGCATGGAGGACGACAATGAAATTAATCTACTATATTGTGTGCATTGGTGAAAATGTGAAATCAAATACACTCCAATTACAAAAAAAAACAAAAACATCGTTACTTCCAACAACTTCCATGCAGCAGAAGGGAGCACATGAAGGCAGTAGTACGGCCAATACTACGATGTCGCAATAAAAACTGCGGCACCGGTGATGCTTCATGTGATTGGCTACGTGGAGTTTATGTGGCAGGACGGGAATGATTTAGCCCGAGACAAAAGCCCATACGTATCGGGTACTAACCAACCCGCCCTTCCCACACTAACTAAGAATCCTCTTCGTCCAAACCAAACGATTACTTATTTTTTGTTTGCCAAACTGTGTTTTCTTTTATTAATTGAAAATGTAATTATTTCCCGGAAGATTCAGAAAACAGGGGACGACGATAGCGAACCAAAAGGCAGGTCTTCGTTCTCCTTCTCCGGCATTCTCCCCAAAATTGCTCCGGTGACTTGTTCGTGGTCGATCCCATCTCCAAAATCGCCCATGTGACTTGTTCAGAGGCGAAGAAATCTGTATCTTCGCGAGACTCTGTCACCAACGAAAAGCGTCGGCACCAAATACTAGTCGGGTCCAAGTCAGAGCTAGTGGGAATTCAATTTCAATCCAAACGAGCTAGCATCTTTAATTTGAAGTTCAATCAAAGCGAGCTATCGGGAGTTCAAATCCAATTCAAACGAGTTAGCGGGAATGAATGATGGGAACAACAGCTATAAGGTATAGGATAATACATGGATACCAGAAACAGTACTTGCGAACCATGGAAGCACCATCTTCTCTTCCTCCTTCTGTAACGACCAGGGCCGAGTTTTAAGGAGTTGCAGGCATAATGAAAAATCAGAGTTTCCCAATTCCCTCTTCTTCATTCTCTCCTCTCCCTCTCCTCCCCAATTCTTCTTCTTGCTGGAACGAATCCGCATTGGACAAGCCGCTGATTTATAAACCCTAAACAGAAACTCCTAGGGTTCTGACTACTTTTCTGGGTTTTGATGGAAGGGAGAAGAAGACAAAAGGTTAGCGGCGGTAGAGGGCTTTGCCGAAGGCGAGGAAAAGAGCCATCACATGTGCAAGTCATGAGTTTCGTCGATGGTGTAGGCAACGTGGACCGGAGGCAGACCCATTTGTCGATTTTAACTTCTTGGGGCTTAGATAACAACCTTGCCTCCCACTGCCTTTGTCCATCATTTCTAACCATGGCCTCTGTCTCTCGCTAAAGTCTGGGTATGATTTTGACACTATTTGTTTACTAATAATCTATTTTGTTAGTTGTTGTTTCCCCCAGATGGATGAGATTCAAATTGTTCGTAATGGAAGATTCTAGTTAACTGCAGATGCTGATGACCGTCGATAAAGAACCCAGAAATCAACGCAAACAAAGAAAAACAATCTAAACCCTAAGTAACCAAATCGAATCCCCAAAACCCAACATGAAAGCCACCTCTTACCTTCGCCATCTCTGCCATCCGTCTCTGTCGTTTCATGTCATCGTCTTGCATTCCTCGTCATTTACCAGAAAAAGGGAGTAGGAGAAGGCAGATTGGGAGAAGAGAAGTAGAGACGGGAGAGGTGAGAGGAAGGTAGGCAAGGATCAAATTAATGAGCAGATCGGGAGGAAAGAGGGGTCGATCAGTAGGAAAAAAGAAGGAATCGATTCATGATTTTTTTCTTGGGTTCGTTGTTCGGAAGCGATGCAGAGAGAAATGGAATGACAGAGATTAACGAAGAAAGAAATGAAAAGATTCCGCCTGTTTGGGCGAATAGGAGTTTGGACCAGTCTATGATTACGGGTTTGGGTTGGGGTTAAGCATGTTAAGTCAGCCCACGCCACATCAGTTCCACATGGACCAATTAAAACTAGCGTTACCGGTGCCGCAGTTTTTATAGTGGCACCGTAGCATTGGCCCAGTAGTACGGCCCGGGCCCAATACGGTCGGATTCCATTAATAAACAAAATGCGCCTTCATGGGTATTATGTACACTATGGGCCTTCCGGAGGTAGATGGGCCCATTGGCAGCAAGAACTTATTTTGAATTGTGCAGATCAAGGTTATCAACCCGCGGGTCGACCCTGGCCCGGTGAGAAAAACGGGCCGCACGTATCCGCCGGGTCGACTGGTATAAGGTACCGTGTTGGAGGTCAAATTGTGTCATTTTTTATTTGGTTTGCGAAATGCGCCTATTTTCCGATTTTTCTTTTAGCCTAACTCAATATTTGGAATTCTAAGTTGAACATTTTAATTAATGTTATATAAGTGTGTGAATTTTCACTATATGTTGGATATAAGTACGATATGTTATTTTGGTGTAATATTATATGTTATAACTAGGGATGGCAATGGGGCGGGTTTGTCAAAACCATCCCCATCCCCATCTTCAAATATCCAAACCCATATCCGCCCCATACCCATGCGGGGGAATATGTGGCAAACCCATCCCCATACCCGTGAGTTTCGGGTACCCGTGGGTAATATCCGTACCCGTACATCCAACATTATTATCCTAAAATTTACAAGAAAAGTTTTAACTACAACTCTAAACGTACCTATTATATCACGAATTCAACAAAACACGATCATTTTCTTAATACGGTTCAAAGAATATGATTCTAAAACATTCGTTAATACATAATATAGAGTATAATATTTTTCAAATTATTATGTTCTAACTCTGAGACATCTACTAAGAAATAATTAACTAACATAATTTTGTTGACAAGGGGGAAAGTGAAAGAGTGAAATGAGAATTAAGGGAAATGAATTAGGTTTTGATTAAGGTGGTCACTCAATTGCATTTCTACTATTTATTTCCTCGAGTTATCCTCATCATCATTGATAGATTACAATTTGATCTACATATTTTGTATATGTGATGAAATTCTCTTGGTGGGGCGGATATGGGTATGGAGGGTATGGGGCGAGGGAGGCTAAACCATACCCGCCCCATACCAATCAAACTTTTTGCGGGTTTTACCCATACCCGCCCCATACCCGGTCAAAGCGGGGATTACCCGCGTTGACTGGGTCGGGGCGGTCGGATACCCGCGGCCATGGGTTTGATTGCCATCCCTAGTTATAACTCATATGTTAGATGAGATTTGATATAATTTATCAGGATAAGTACAATATAATGACTCTTAACATATTTTTGGCTAAACCGGTCTAAAATGGATGACCCATTAACCCTTGACCAACTAGCTCGCGGGTTGACAACCTTAATGCAGATGTATGGAGTGGAAGGCTTTGTGTAGCTGATGGACAAACGCAGAGCTCTTCGTTAAATATGGATTGAATTTACTTAGTTGTCCTTCCCGTGAAATTCTCAAAGGGCTGAAAATTCAAATTTCTGAAAATCCAACTCATATTTTCCCTTTTGTGATGCAGATTAATGGTCATAGGTTTAAATAACGGAGGAGAGAGAGTGTGTGTGTATGGGATAATCTAATGAGAAATAAGTAATGGGGGAATTAATCAATAGTTGGCGACCCAAAATTCGCGGCACTGAATGGACTTTTGCCAACTGATGAGATCAGATCCGATCCCAACAAGGGTCGTAAATTCTCTGATTACTAGCTCTGCCTACTTTCATTAGTTACTTATTTATAATTCTTTCCCAGAAACCAAACAACTACAAATAGCACGAAATTGCACGCGACTCTCACTCTACTACAAGGATTAAGCAGGGAATATAATTTTGATTATTAATTTAGTTTCATATTCATTAAGTAATTACAGTAGGAAAATGGATTACTGGATTACTGAAAAAAGTATACCTAATGTATTATGACCTAGTTTGCTCCTGCTGTAGTTTTTTCAAAAACGGTTTCTGGCCGGAGCTTTTAAATAAATACTTAAAAAACTATTGAGTGTTTGATTGAAAAACTATTAGAAGTATTTTTTAATATAAAAGATTATGTAAAATGATTATAAAGGATATATATTATACAATATGAATAAAAATTCTAAACAATTAAAGGTAGTCAAAATGAATTTTGTTAGATTTTTTTATATCAAATAATATGATTTCATAATTTATTTTATTTTAAAATAATATAAATGAAATAAAATTAATATATGATAAGGATAATCTTGTATTTTCAAAATAGTTTTTCGCAAAAGCTATAAATCGAAGTTTCAGCTTTTATGTTATGCAAAAGTACTTTTCGACTTTGTAAAACCCGAGTTTTTAGAGTTGTTTGGTCCTGCTTCAGCTTTTGAAGTCGGAAAACACTTTTAAAAGCCGAACCAAACATAGGCTATGTACAATGAACGCTCGAATTATAACTAATTGATACATATTTTGTTTAGAAAATTATACTCTATAATTGTCATTATAAAGATTTGTGATTTTATTAGAGCTAATCAAATCGAAAGAAAAAAATCGTTCCAAAAACCTAAAAGAAACTTTGGATGGTGTATAGCACAAAAAACAATTTACGGCTGTTGAAGGGTTGTAGCCTTGTAGGTACCCTGTCTTGTGCTATCAAGACTAAGGGGTGGTTTGCTTCAAGGATTTGGTACATGGATTTGGTACCAAAAAACCAACTATCAAGGATTTAGGTACAATCCGTTGTTTGCTTGCACCTTTTTTGGAGACCAAATCCGTGGGGCCCACAGATTTTAAGGGTCCAAATCCGTGGACCCCACGGACTTATAAATCCCACATGTTGATGTGGGATTTGGAATATGGCATAAATCTTTGATGACATTTTACCCATATACCCTCATGCAATTTTAATATTCCAAGGTTGCCCTCAAATTTAACTATTATACATTATAATTAACAATAAATGAATAATATAAACGTTCAATTAATGTGCAAACATGAGTTAGATTTTTTATATCATTTCTTGTTTTCTAGTTTTCTTTGACCTTTTCATGGAACGTGTAATTCTTTGTTCTCCCGATTCTAATATATGTTGTTATATGTTACTTTTGAAAAAGAGGACAAAGAATTGGTAATTGATTATGTTACGTTAAAAGTTAAAACGGAATTTTCTCGTTTATTATTATTGTCCATGTGGCAACATTATGCTTATTAGTATGTATTGTCCTTGTTTTGTCTACATATCATAAACATGTCAAACATATAGAAAATGATAGTAAGGTAATTATGAAGTTTTGTCCTTGTTTTGTGTACATATCATAAACATGTCAAACATATAAAAAAGGGCAGTAATGTAATTTTTGACTTCAAATAGTAAATCCCACACCTTAAAATCCATGATAAAAACATCCCAACAAACAAAGGATTGTTACAAATCCATGATGCCTCAAATCCTTGATAAATCCTTGGGTTTTTAAATTACAAAACCCTTGTTTATAAATCCATGAAGCAAACGACCCCTAATTTGTTAGGATGTTCTTTTTCGTGGAACAAATTAGTAGTAATATTGGGTAGGTACTTTAGTTTCATATATTCCACAAATTGATTCTGGTATTAACAAATTGATTGTTAACTTTGGTACGTTACGTCCAAATGTTTACTGTCCATTATTATTATTATTATTATTATTATTATTATTATTATTATTATTATTAATAAGTGGTGGTCTGAACAATTTATAATTGTTTCGTTGGCAAAACTCGCGTATTCAATGCGCACTGTTTTCAACAAAACACAAAGTCAATCACAACCGTCAAATATCCGCCGCCGAATGTCGGCGTCGTTGATTTGATCGATCGAACAGAAAACAAAGACGACCGTCAAATATCCACTGCCGGCGTCGGCAATGTTGATTTGATCGATGCCCCTTTGACTTCTAATCAAACAACTGTATTCGGTTCACCACCTCTCCAAACTACGTTCGAACGAGGGTGCTCGGCGAATAACCAGAAAATCGAACCAGGAGTGTTCTAAGTTACGTTACCTCTACTCTTATGGAGGTTCCTCTGGAGAGCTCCGCAACTACGACTACGATCTACGACTACTACGACTCTGCAAAGGAGGTCTTTGACAGAGAAGTTCTACGAACTAGAGAGAGAAAAGATAAATTCTGCGACGGTGCAGTTTGTGATTTGATTTTGCCCCCCGTGAGTCTCTCTCTCTTCCCAATCTTTATACTTCGCGCTTCTCCCCGTCGTGGTAACTGCCTTGCGCCTTTGTCTCCCACGTCTTCATTCCTGTCAACCGTGTAGGTAACTTCCTCCTTGTTGCGTGATAATCACGTGCCTTGGTGAAACGACTTACCACCTTGTCCATGTAACGATGACGTTTCACCAATACCACAACATCGCCTTTCACCAACCGATGCCGTTTTATGATCCAACTCAACTGCCCCGACCCGGCTTAACCAACGACATTGTTAGTCCATCAAACAACGTCGTTCTATACTCTTGCGTCGTCGTTGGGTTTGGCGGCTGCCTTTGGCCGAACTCTTACCACTACAGCGGTGTCGTTTTACTTTTCCGCGACATCGCTTTTCATTAAATGACGTCGTCTAAAATAATCATAAACTACTAATTAATTAAACCAGCCCTCATTGTTAACTCGTCGTCAAACTCTCACCCCTCGGCGCCGTTCTTAGTTAAACAACATCGTTTTGTAGTCCCGCGATGTCGTTGAACTTTTGAGCTTCGCGACACTGTTTTAAATTTAACACTGTCGTTTGAACTATTGCGACATCGTTTGGCCTACTCGCGGTATTGTTTTATAATCCGCGGTGTCGCTTCTTTCCTCTTACGGCATCGTTTTCAACTAAACGACACCGTCCCAAACAGTCATTAAAATATTAATTGATCAATTCGGCCATCACAAGTCAAATACGCGTGTTGACCAACGACATCATTAGCCCCAAAACGGCTCCGTTTGCTTTTCCTTTCGCGACATTGTTTGTTATTTTAAACACTGTCGTTTGCTAGTACAACGGCACCGTTGGGCCTACTCGCGGCACTGTTTTGAACTTAAACGACACCGCTGATATAGCCGAGACAAATTCCATGGAACCACTGCCAATCGGCGCTCGCATTGGACTAGGCGAATTTTGGATTAATTAATCGGTATCGCTTACCAGGCTCTCGCGGCAGCGTTTTAAAACCGCGGCACCGTTTTAATTCTCCGCGGTACCGCTTGTCTCCATGCGGTGCCAGTTTTCCCCTTTGGGCAAGGAATAAAGAGAATAATAATTAGTTCTGACGATGATGACGATGTATCTCCAACCGCGCGACCCCTTTTATTTTCATTAAGCGGTGTCGTTTCCCATGCCGCGGTACCGCTGAGCTTCCTTGCGGTACCGTTTTTGTTCCGCGGTATCGTTTTAACTCTCCGCGATACCGCTTAACTTCAAACGACGCCGTTTTTTACCCAAGGTATCGAATTAAATGCCGAGACTAATTAATGCGGCATTTAATTCCGACCAAATTAATTTTAGGTGTCAACAATAATAAAAAATAATAATGACACTTGGAGTCATATATTTTGTGTATGAATGTTACCGTGGATGTAGTTTCACCTACCCAATATTACTACTAATTTGTTCCACGAAAAAGAGAAAGTAACGGAAAATGATAAAAGATAAAATCCATCAGAAGAAAATGATAAATTCGTCTGTGGCAAAGAAGAAAATAATGAAAGCAAACGATATTATTATTATTATTATTATTATTATTATTATTATTATTATTATTATGTAGTGGTGGTCTGAACAATTTATAAAAAATAATAATGACACTTGTAGTTATATATTTTGTGTATGAATGTTACCATGGCTAGGGCTGGAAGTTTAGTATCGGTATTTGGGATATACCGAATACCGTACCGAATTTGTCTATATTTGGTATTACCGAATACACGTATTATTTTTTGGGATTGAGATTTGAGATTGGGATTAAATTTCAATTGTTATTTGTTATTAGGGATTACGAGATTAGGATCGGTATATACCGAAATACCGATCAATACCGAAATATAAGCTAGTGTGTATTTTATCCTCTAAACTAGACTCTCTCATTCACTATTACGCGACCCTCAACCAGCAAAAGTGTCATTTAATTATGCATAGATCATTACATCACTATTTCACACTAGTATTAGTCGTCTCTCAACCTCAAATTCATCGAATTAAAGATTACCAATTACAAGAACTTGACATGTTAGCTCTAGGCAACTCAAAACTATTTGTTTAGTCTCTTTGCTCTAATTTAAACAATAAAATCTAATTTATATATTTAATTATTAATTTCAAAGGTAATTAATTATGTATTCAATAATACGGATGGGATACCTAGGTACCGATTGGGATACCAAAATTATTTAGGAATTGAGATTGAGATACCGAAATTATTTAGGGATTGAGATTGGAATTAATTTTAGAATGTAATTCGTTATTCGGGATTTTGGTATTTGATATTGAGATACTGATACCGTACCGATTTCCACTTCTAACCATGAGTGTAGTTTCACCTACCCAATATTACTACTAATCTGTTCCACGATAAAAGAGAAACGAACGGAAAATGATAAAAGATAAAATCCATCAGAAGAAAATGATAAATTCGTCGGTGGCAAAGAAGAAAATAATGAAAGCAAACGATAGAAAAGTGGAGCCAAAAGACGACAAGTGAACAGAACACACACAGAGAGAGAAATAGAGGGGAGGTGTGGAGAAGAGAAAGAGAGGGAGCAAATCAACGAATCGAAAGGTTCGCAAACGAAGCACCAAAAAGAAATTAAAAATTAAAAAAGCTCTCTCTTTCCCTTGGAAGTATGACGATGATGGCCTTCTTCTCCTCTTCTTCCCAACCGCAGAAGGGTGTCGTCGTGACTGTTCCGGTGCTCGTCCTCGCCGTCTCCGTCGCCGCTCTCACCCTGGTTTTCCTGGCTTCTTCTCTCTCCGCCCCCTGTTCTTGCTCTCTCCCTCCTCCGTCCCCCTTCTCCGCCCTCCCTGCCGCCGGTGGGGAGAGGGTATCTGCAACGGCGGATGATATCGAGTGGGTGAGGGAACAGATCAGAGGGAATGGTCTCCATATGCAGGACAATGTTCTCCGTAAAGGGATCAATCCACGGACTAGGGCTCAGCAACTCCAAGATCTCATTCAGTGAGCTTTCATCTGTTTCATTTCATATATGTTTTCAGGGGATTTTCATTTTCTGTCGTTGTTGCATAATAGCCCTATCTTGGAAGTCTGGTTCTTTCCCCTTTTTTTGTGGTGATTTTGGGCAGTTTCTTTTCTTAACGACATACAACCCATGTTCAAAGTCTCTTTCTTTCCGTTTCTTTTGGTGTGGGTTTGAGGGAGTTTCTCTGTTTTGAGCTTAATTGCATATATGTATATATCTCATGTTGAAAATCTCTTTCTTTCCTCTTTTTTATTTCTTTTGCTTACTGTGGTTGTTGTGTTGGTAGAAAGATTATGGAGAGAGATGGGGTGTGAATTTGTGGGAAGGATGATTAGTCTTGATATGAATTTCGTGTTGTTTAGCGAGCTTTCGGATGGGATTTGTTCTGCTTTAGCTGTGGACTGCATTGGAAACTTAACAATCCACCGTTGAAGTTCTTGCACTGATAAAATGTGAAACGAAACAAAGGCTGTTACTGTTTTCAACTTGGCTATGCAACAGTGAGCTGGGTGTCTAGATTTCATTCTTTACCTGAGTGAAGCCTAGAAGTCAAGAATTGCTACTAGAGGCTGAAGCTTTTCATTATCTTTATTCCCCCTCGTTTGCTTGCTTTACAAGTAAAGCATGTTCCACCCATTGCCAATCAATGCGTTTCTGCTGTACCATGTAACCAAATCTTACCTTTTCTCCAGATACAAGGGAATCTCGCACTATGATGGTCCAGATTCGGACAACCACACTGCACTTCCGTGCCCTGGAGAACTCTTGGTAGAAGAGCACCATAGCAACTACGGGGAACCATGGGCTGGTGGAAGGGACGTATTTGAATTCCTTGCTGAATCCACGAATCTCTCGCCGAACTCCCAGGTACTTGAGATCGGATGTGGCACGTTACGTGTCGGCCTTCATTTCATCCGCTACCTCGCTCCATCAGGGTTTCACTGTCTAGAAAGAGATGAGCTTTCTCTCATGGCTGCTTTGAGATATGAGCTCCCATCCCAGGGTCTTCTACACAAGAGGCCTGTGATTGTTCGAGGAGAAGACATGGATTTCACTAGGTTTGGTGATGGCGTTTCCTATGATCTGATATATGCTAGTGCCGTGTTTCTTCACATGCCGGATAATTTAGTATGGACGGGGCTCGAGAGGTTGGCAGGGAAGTTGAAGCCCTATATTGGGAGGATATATGTGTCGCATAATATCAAGTTCTGTTCGAGGTTGGGTGGTGAGCAGTGTACTAAGAGGTTGAGTGATTTGGGGCTTGAGTATCTCGGCAAGAGAACGCATGATAGTTTGCTGTTCAATCACTACGAGATTTGGTTCGAGTTCAGACGGTCCAGAGCTTAGGTAACAAAGCCGTGCCATCAAGGTTATGTGGCGAGCTTTCAGTCCTCTGTATTCTTTGAAATGTTTCATCGGCATTATGTTGATTGTTTGATGTTGTAGTCAGGATTGTGTTGTTGTATATAAAGTAGAGAAGGGACAGCCATAGCCATGATAACGATGTTGCTGAGCTTTGATGGGTAACTTGCTTACTGGTAGGATTTATGACTGCGAGACACCTTTTTGCTGTATTTAATCAGGAATTGGCTGCAACTAAGATGAGAGGAAGTCTCCAGTCAAAATGATGTAATGGGCTAATGGCTACCCTATTTTTTGTAATTCTAGCAGCAGTCCATTTTTTTCTCTCTACCTAGATGGCTCAACAACAGCTGAAATTCTTACATGTTTTACTTGCTGATGATCCTTTAGGCTTCACGGTACTCTGGTACACTCATATGATCAGTGGCGGAGCCACTTGGAGAGGAAGGGGTGCAAGCACTCCCTTGGGTTTGGAGAAATTTTTTCCGAGTAGGGGTATATACAAATTCGAACAAATGACCATTTAGTTGCAGGAAGAATTTCTTATCATTTCAATCGAGTGAGTTTTGTTATGCAATGCACTTTCGTCTTTATTTATAGTAATACATTGTTGTCTTTTGTTTAAACTCGCTCATTTTTTTATTTATTTTTGTAGCTCTACAACAGAGAAATTTCTTGTCTTTTGTTTAAACAAAGTTGAAAGTGAAGAAGTACCAATTGAAGTTCACTTGTTTGTTTCACAAAATCAATTCCAAGGTACTTCTTAGTGCTAATTCGTAACATTTGATTAATGGAAGTCTTAATTTGTATGTACTGAACTTATTTGTTTGACGTTGTAACCGGTGTACGTGAAACTATTTTAATGTAATTGTATGAATTTAGAGTATTGCGTTGTTGCCTTTTTGTTTAATTTAAAGTTGACTTTTTTATTGTATAGGTGAGTTTTTATGATATGACAAAGACACCCCCTTGGCCAATTTTCTGGCTCCGCCACTGCATATGATGTCAATTTAACAGATCACTGAACCAGTACGATTGCCTCAAGTAGACACGTTCTGGGGAACTTATACCATGAATGCTGAACTTTTTGTTTTGCCTCCGAGACTTGTTCAAAAATTCAAAAATGACATAGTACATAGACTGATTTAATATAGTTCATTGCATAACTAGTACCTATTCATAGTATAATATTGGGACTGAAAATGCTATCAACGCTATTCCTGAATGAACCCAGCTAACTCAAATCACTCATCACAGTTTGTGGCCAGGTTGTTTTTCCCCTTCTTTCTTGCTGTTCAAACATACGTCCAAAATGCTCCAAAAGAACATGTGATTCAGGAGTAGGTGGTGTCAGAAAAATGAAAGAGCCTATGGGACAACTCAAGAGTGGTAAAAGCAGAAACAACATCTCTTATGTTATTGAGTCATTAGCAATACCTGTCAATCCTAACAAACGCATATGCTGGCAGAGTGGCAGGTCATGTTATCAAATAATCAGCAGATCTCCCCCCCATTTTGCCTTTACTTTTAACCATGCCAAACCTGTTAAACAATGCTAATGATAAACGGTAAGAACTACGGATCGATGGCGTGTACGTTTAGGGTTTGTAGATTAGGGATTTGATAGATAATTGGGGATTGAGAAAGAATTAGGAATTTAGGAGAAGAACAAAATTGGTGATTAGAGATTAGAAGATGAAATTGGGATTGAGAAAAAGAATGGCCGACGGCTTAAGGATAGGTGACGAATATTAAAAGAAGAGAGACTAGGATTTTAGGAGAAACTCTGTGAATAATTATTTGGTTGATTGATTATTCTAACTTAAAATTCAAAGTACATATATAGAAAATAGACTAGAAAACATGATAAAATCCTAGACTATATGGCTATACCTAGCCGCCTAACCCTACCCAAATAATAATAATAATAGAACACAAAGAGACGTGTTTCTAACAATCCACCCTCCTTGAAAGCGACATTGTTCTCAAGGTTACAGACAACTTCCGCTTTCTCAACCTTCCACTTTCTTCGTTTCCTTTTCCTCCAAATAATGTACATTACTCGGTTTGGCTTCTTGCAATGACCTCCTTGTACTCTTCAACAGAAGACCCAACCAGACAACACATTTGAGGCCCAATTCCTCAATGGAAACTCGTCCCATCATGCCTATAGCCCACCACGCTTCTGCTGCAGATATAGGGTACTGATGCCCAACCTTCCTCAGCAATTGGGCCTGTTGATCTTGGCCCAATCCAATTGTCTGGTCGCCCCCCTCAATCTCCTTCTCTAGTGACGCGAGTAGAAGCTCCCCGGCGCCTACCTCCTCCTCCATCTCCGACAACGGATCCTTCTTCGCCTCGTTCTCTGGCATAACCTTCCTTGACAGCAGCTCCCTCACTTCTTTCCATAGAACCTCCTCTCCCGGCGGCGAACCACCCACCCAGTGGTGAGGCGGCCAGCTCGTCTCCGTTTTCTTCGGCGCTCCCACCTTCGGCGATGACATACTCGCCGAAAACAAGGATTGAGGGCACAGGTTATCGTCGACATCGGGAGAGCTCTCAATCTCCTCGGAGCCTCCTGAACTTGGCCTTCTTCTTCCTTGCCTTCACCTGGCTGAGAGCCTCTTCTTTTTCTGAATTCCAACCCAATAATTGAAACAATAAGAACACATTGAACAACAATTTTTTCTCGCCATTGGATTCACATAGGGCATCAAAGTTGGTGAGGTCGAGGGAGCTTGGCTGCTGTGTCTATAGGTGTCAATCGGGCGGGTTCGGGCTGGGTTCAATCGGGTTCGGGTTCAAACGGGTTGCAGGTTAGTCGGGTTGCGGGTTCATCGGGTTCGGGTTCATCGGGTTCGGGTTCCAACGGGTTGCGGGTTATTCGGGTTGCGGGTTCATCGGGTTCGGGTTCAATCGGGTTGCGGACAAATCGGGTTGCGGGTTCATCGGGTTTTGGGTCGGGCGGGTTGCGGGCGGATCGGGTTTCGGGTTGTTCAGGCCAGCGCATCGAGTAACTTACTCATTACTCGTTACCAACTTACACATTTTATTACACTAATTTAAAATATTTTTCTCAACTTTTTAACCAATTTATTCTACGTCGTATATATATACTTAATTAAAAAAAAACTAGTCAAAATGTTAAATCAATTTGTATGACTTGCAAACTTGTTATGTAATTAATCATAATTGGTAAAGTACACTAGCTAATAGTAATGGTGATATCAATATTTGCAACCAAAAGACACCATTAATTGTTTATTTGATATTTTAGTATTATTTCAGTAGTAATTGGATTAAAGTATCTTGTTTAGTATAACCATGCAAATATGGTATTTGGTTTGTGGTATTTTGCAAAAGCATAGTGATAAAAGGAGTTATTTCGAAATAACTCATTGCCCAAATAACTTCAGTAAACTATTGCCAAACGAGTTATTTGTAAAATTGTTCGAATTGTCCTAAAGATTAACTATCAAATTTAGTAAAATTATTGTGACTTCAATCATAACTTACTGAATAACATATATCCTATACAGTTAGCCTTATCCTCAATCGATAATATTAAATTAGTATATCTCACATAATTTGTAAGGAATATAACATATATGATATTAACTAACTACTTAAATATTTGCAACATACAAACCACACAATTACTATATTGAAATTGTGCATATAAAATACAAACGTGCATAACCTATATGCCGAGAGCAGAAGAAAGGAAGCAGGGATTCGACTGTCTTCAGTCCTTTCTAACCTAGAGGCGACGAAGACGGCAAGGGAGCGGAGGGGACAGAACCACTGGAGACAGTCTGGTGGCGGAGATAGGGATTTCCCTTCTCACTTGATTAAAATATTGGGGGAGGTGGGAGGGAATTTTCAATTTTGGGATGGGAGGGAATTTTAATTTTGGATCAAATATTGGGGGAGGTGGGAGGGAATTTTCAATTTTGGGATGGGAGGGGATTTCAATTTTGGATCAAATATTGGGGGAGGTGGGAAGGAATTTTCAATTTTGGATCAAATATTGGGGGAGGTGGGAGGGAATTTTCAATTTTGGATCAAATATTGGGGGAAGGGGGTTTATGGGAGGGATTTTTTTTTTAAAATGGGTTTGCAAGGGAATTTTTGAGCAAATATTTGGGGGCTTTGAATTTTGCATTCAAAAAATTTCCATAAACATCTAGTTCTTCCTTTCTTTGATATTTATTATTATAGATGATAAATTCTATACCGATTAACTAGTTTGTTGTTCGATTCGTTGGTCGGAATGTCATTTGAATATGATATATTTAAGATGTACATTCACAAGTTAAACTAATTGTTAAAATTAAATTAATTAATAAACTATAAAAATCAAAATATCCAACATAAAACATAACCATGAATAAACCCTAGACCCTAACCCTAAACCCTATACCCTATACTATAGTTATATGTTATGAAATTGTTAGTATAAGCTATAACATATGTTATGTGAAGAATGTAAGTTGAGTCAATTTTATATTCGGTTATTGAGAAGAACATACGTCTTATGACTCCAAACTCTAAACCACGAGTCCACTACCGTATACCCTATACACTAACCTTAAACCATGAAATATAGTTGTGTGTTATGAAATTGTTGGTATAAAGTATAAATTATAACGTATGATATGTGAAAAATGTTAGTATAATACCCGTAAGTATTTTATACGTAACTTTTATGAATCTTCTTATTATTGGGGCTAGGGTATGAGTTATGACTTATGTACTATTATGAATCTTCTTATTATTGGGGCTAGGGCATGAGTTATGACTTATGTACTATTATGAATCTTCGTATTTTAGGTTAATATTTTGACAATGTTATGTGACCAGTTATATTATGTGAGGAAGAAAAAATGTTGTAACTATTAGGTACTGATATATGATTGGCTTAATTAAGCCAATCATGTTTTTCATATGTATGTGTTATCTATATATATTATTTATATACATCAACCAAATGTAAAAAATGTTGACAACCCTCCTAGGATTTCTACTTATCTACCGAGACAGTGAGACTATTATGTGATTCAATTAAATGACAGTTTTTATTTGTCAACACAAAGTAAACCTTTGTTCTTGGTGGGAAAGATGAAAAAATAATAGGGCAAGTCACATAAACTTTATATATATATTATCTACATATAATATTTATGCACAAAAATATATTATGTAGTATTATTCGTGCCAATCGGGCGAGTTCGGGTTGGGTTAATCGGGTTCGGGTTAGTCGGGTTACGGGTCAAGCAGATTGCGGGTCAAGCGGGTTCGGGTCAAGCGGGTTGCGGGTCAAGCGGGTTGCGGGTCAAGCTGGTTACGGGTCGGGCGGGTTGCCGGTCTTTGACTTTTAGTCTAATCGGGTTGCGGGCGGGTCGCGGATCGGGTTGGTTGGGCGGGTTACTCGGGTCGGGTCATGTTTTGACACCTATAGCTGTGTCTCCCTCGTCGAGTCTTCTTCTTCTTCGGAGCAATTTCTTCCTTCGGCGCGGCTACGGTCGAGGTATCCCCATTGATTGTCATCGCAGCCTTCAACTGCTTCTCACTTGCCTTTGTGACTTGCCTCGGCGCCAACTCATGCTCTATTTCTGCTTGGGCCAGCAACGTCGTCGAACCTTCCGTCAACAGCCCTTTGCCTGGTTCTTTCCTGGTGCAGCCTCCTATCGATGCCTCGATCCGTGCACCCATCGTTGTGGTTGTGGCTCGCACCTGCTCGACATCTTGAACGAGCTCCTCGAGGATCCCGAGAAACCGTTCCTCTAGCTGCAAATCCTGGTCCTTGTTTGAAGAGGTCATCTTCTTAGAACCCCATGCTAAGCAAGCTCTGATACCACTGTAAGAACTATGGATCTATGACATGTACGTCTAGGGTTCGTAGATTAGGGATTTGATAGATAATTGGGAATTAGGAATGAATTAGGAATGTAGGAGAAGAACAAAATTGGGGATTAGAGATTAGAAGAAGGAATTGGAGATCAAGGGGAAGAATGGCTGACGGCCTAAGGATAGGTGGCAAATATTGAGAGAAGATAGACTAGGGTTTACTCGTCCCGAATATCACAACAAAATCCCACCTAAAGCTCAAGTATAAACCTTAGATGGGTGCAATATAGGGCGAATATGTTTAAATATCAACTCGGGCCGGTCCATGTATCCATACTTACATTGTTTGAAACATTATCTAGCGGATTGGTTTTTGGTTGAAAACTATGAGGTTTAAATTAAAACAAAGCAAAGGTAAATGGTTTGAAAGCTCTAGATGAGAAGGATCACTCGGTGTCGCTTCCCCCTAACTACTACCATAGCACGTGGACTCGAATGTGACGTTATGGGCAAGGCAATCGTGAACCGCTAGGAGGTGCAACTATGGTCGAAGACCACACTCTCAATTGCCAAACCAAGGGATACATTGTAGGCTACTAGAGTAGCCCTCTTGGTTAAGGCAATTGAAGGTTGGCTTACCTTTTCCATCAAATAGATGGTTGGACGGCTTAATCGCGATTAACCTAGTCATTTAATTCAAGATAGAGGTTTTCCCTACATTAACCTAGGTAGGTGGCTTGAAAAGCCCAAAGAATCCCAACTCAATTGAGCTTCTTTTGGAAAGGGGGGTTTTCCCCTCTAACCTAGGTTAGAATGGTCAATTAGATTGCTAAGCACAAACATGCACAATCATCATGAAATATACATCAATCATTAAATTAAACAACACTCATAAACAATCATTCAATTCACACTACAACTACATGGCAAATAGTTACGGTTTCACAACACCCAAGTGAAAAAGGTACTACTCCATGCTAAAAAGGGGAAGAACACAAAAGAAAGAAGTAGAAACCATCATGGAGATGCCTCCACTCTCCTTTGATCTTGTGTTGATCTTCTATTGAGGAGATTCTTCCCAATTCACCACTTGGAGCAAACCCTAGCCTCCTTTCTTCTTTGGTTCATCCTTTCTCTCTCTAAAATCTGAAGAAGAAGGTGTTTTCTCACTCTTGGGCTCCCCCTTCTCTCTTCCTTTCAGCTCACATTTTATACTGGGATCGGCCTCAGTTCACGGCCGTGAACTCTTCAACGCGTTCGTGAACTCGGAGTGCTGTGTCGAAACACACCACTTCACTCACTTGAGTTTACGGTTTGCACTCAAAGTTCACGGTCTTGTTGACCGTGAACTCACCTTGCGTCAGTAACTTCAGAAATCGCCCTGGATGCTTCCCGGTTCACGGTTTATGGCTTCATTTCACGGCTTTAGAAGACCGCGAACTCCAATCTAAAACCATGAACATGGCCTAAATCACCCGCTTTGTCCGGTCTTTGCTCCTTTTCTTCCAACTTTCGACTCCGGGGCTGGTTTCACCTGTTAGATCCTGAAACACACTGAAACGCACAAAACCTAGCATAAAATCGACCTTCTAGGAGTTCAAATGCCACAAACGCCCAGGAAAATAGGGATAAAATGTATGCAATTAGGCCTGAATCATGGGTTTTAGGTGATACTCTCTGGATAATTCTTTGATTAATTGATTATTCAAACATAAAACCCAAAGTACATATATATATATATATATATATATATATAGTTTAATACACTTGTATATCCAAAACTTTCATGGTTGTGCCGATAATATCCAAATTTTCCGGAATACCACTTATATCCATTTTTTAAAGTTGTTTTTTTCCAAATCTATCCATTTCACAATATATTTTTGGTTAATTACACCTGTATATCCAAAAACACCGTTAAAGAATGTGAAGGAATTGGATATAAGTGGTATTTCGGGAAATTTGGATATTATTGGCACAACCGTGAAAGTTTTGGATATACAAGTGTATTTAACCTATATATATATAGAAAATAGACCGGAAAACATAATAAAATCCTAGGCTGTTTAGTTGTACCCAACTAATACTAATAATAAAAAAACACAAAGAGACGTTTTTCTAACATAAACAAATCAAATCAAGAAACACCATGTGTAGCTTATGTTATGGCTAGTTTAGATCATACATTATTCTTCTGTGATTAGCTATTGTAGTTATGAAGTTGTGGTCTGATGAAGTTGCCAACTTGTTCCTTGGGATGGAAGTGACCTATGAGTATGAGCTGCTACAGTTGCCTTTAGGGCTCTCCAAAAGGATTTGTTTCCTGTCACCATACCTTGACTTCTTGTTTGAATTGCCTTGTAGTATGGCTTTCAGAAGAATGTCTGAGTAAATGAGTGATTTAGAACATTACAACTAAGCAGAGCTTTTTGCCTTGCCAACTTCTCTATGTGCAGCACTTTGCCTTTGGCAACTTGACACAGTAAAGGTCACGAATCTCGAAAGGGAACTAACAATGTTTCTCTTGACTCCTCTTTCAATAGGTTGTAGGATTGGATTCTCATATTCCTTCTTGCTTTCTTGACTTAGTGTTGATATGTTGTCCTTGTCTGAAAATGATGGCTTTCTGTAATCATGGATGATCAACTCTGCCTACTGCCTTTCTGATTTGGTTCATTAGCTTCTGGCATTCTTCTTCTGCTTCTTTCATATCATGCTCGAGCTATGTTATTCTTCTCTCTTTGCTTGTTTGTATCCTGATCTAAAGGGATAGAAAATATGTATGCCATTAGTGTATAAGTTTCTTGTAATTTGTTTCTAACATCACTATTGAAATCCTAGGGAAGTTTTGTTACTGCCTCTGGATTTTCTCTGTCAGTCTCAATTGCTCTCGCCCAACTTGAAAATATAAAAGAGCATATTATCTCTCTCTCCTACATCTTTTTCACTTGGACTTATATTCACTAGCATAAAAACCTTTGAACTGTGACCTACAAAAAACTATTATCATGAGGTGGATTTCCTATAATTATCTACTTTTGGATTTTTATTTAGAATCAATCAAGAAATATATAAAAAAATTCTCATAAACCTTAATCTATCTTTCTCTATCAATCTCGTCTATCTTTCTCCCTAAATGCTTTGACCATTCTATCTATTCTTCCCTAATTATGTTATTTCTATCTCAAATCCCTCATTTTTACTCCCAATCACTAGATCCCTTTCTATCCATCTTTGTTACGAGTAATCGAGGGTGCCAAATATCCGAAATCTAACCTGAAGACACCCTAGAACCGTGTTTCTTATAGCGTTATTAGAGTCATGGTTATAGGCACCTGCATCAGAGATACATCCAACTTCCAGCTCTCAATCACAAAAATTGCTCGCGATTTCAAGTTGAAGCTAGAAGAGTTGTGAGGAACGATGACTTCGGTGTTGTCGTGCCCATGCTACTACCACCGAAAAAGGAAGGTGTAGTAGCCGATGCTTTAGGGTTTGTGCTGCCACCCAAGAACAAATGAACTCGGCCAGAGAAGCCATCGTGCTTCCCTCTGCTACTGTGGAAGAGGAAGGTTCGGTTGTTGATATCTTTGAAGACCTGCAACAACTCTTCCCCGAGGATAACTTTAATCACATAAAACCCTTGTATGTTCGAACACTCAAGGCCTTGAATGAGTCGACCGAAGAGTAGCCGAGCTCAAGATGAAGATGTCGAAGAAGTGGTGGTCGCCAACGGGGTGCACCACTGAGAAGAGGAAAGAGGGAACGCCGACGGAGGGTGATGCCAGACTAAGGAAGTATATGCTAGAACAACTGGCTGGACTAGCTATGTTGATGTCGACACAAGCTCTTCAGTGCTATCCTGCATCAGGCACCCAAACACAGTAGTTGTGGTTATGTTGGCAACCATTGGAGGAAGGCATGAGTGATAGTCGTTTGTTGCGATCTTCACTGGCACGCCGAAAGTAGTCGAATCTCCATCCTCATCGACCTTCGGTGTGGAAACGAATGAGGACATCATCAATCCTCCCTCAATGCCCCGGGAAATGTTAAATTTCCAAGATAATCGAATTTGTACTTGGAAAATAGATAAGTCAATAATTGCTCGAACCAAGTGCACCAGATTGGTAGCTTGAAGTTCCTAAATCTGACCAATCTACCACCAGTGAGACTGTTAGACGATCGAAAATCTTTGACCATGAGTTGGAGATGAGCTGCAGTTTTTTTTGCGCCTCGCAACAACCACAAACCAAGGAGAAAAGCCTAGCTAAGGGCCTCGACACCGACGAACGGGAAAGGAAGATACGACATTGAGCCGCAAAAGGGAGTGTTCTTCGACAAATAGGAAGGAGGAGCCGTGGATTGGGTCTTATCCGGCTCAAATCGTGGTTTTCATGCAAATTGATTGACGGTGAAGATGGAGACAAAAAGGGTGAGGTACACAATGAAGAAGGAAGGGCCGATGATGAGGGTAGAACCCCACTTGACTCCTAGTTGTCGGGTGGAAACCTCAACACTGTTGCCGGGGAAATTCTTCCGTTATTTGGAAAAGATAGTTTAGTGTTAGTCTAGCATTTACCTTTTGTTTTATGAGTATGAATCTTGCTTGTGTTAGTCGAGTTGTGTTTCTTTTAAGTGTGTGCGTGAGGTTGTATGACCCATAGTAATCCAACACCTTTGGCGCCACTAGACAAGAATCTCAACCGCACTCTCCGACTCTTGGCTCGTGAGAGGGAGCTGGCAGAAGCAAGGAGAAGGATTGAGGAGAGGGGACAACCACAAGTTGGTCCTAAAGTTGAAGAAGTTGTACTTGAAGAAGTTGAATCGGAGGAAAAAGAATGAAGTGAAGCTGAGATGGTGTCTAATCAAAATGTTCAAGAGCGAGCTGAGGAACCGAGGACCATGGGCTCCTATATGACTCCACGGGCGACAGATATCCAACCGACCATTTTGCATCCACCCGTGGCCGCCAA